ACATGTATAATCAGAGAGTGAATTAGCTCTAGGTTTTAACTGTATTAGATTTCAAGCTAATAACTGTTGTGTTTTGATACGAAATAAAATCTTGTTTTTTCATAAAAAAGGGCAACGGAAGACTTTAAAAATAACAAGTTTATTTTTAGTTCATAACAAAACGGAACCATCATGGATCCATTTATAGAGGTTAGAATGAAATAAAACCAACCATAGGATGTTTTAGAGATAACCTTTGAAGCCTTTGAACCCACTTGGTTTTGGGGTGTTGATGAAGATAACAAAAGATCAAAGTGTATGATCTTCTCTACAAGTATCCACCATCAAGAGTAAGGCACATGGAATGCTAGTTCCTTCTTGTATTCTTGAGTGTCTTAAGCCTATAAGTGCTTAACTCAATTAAGCACTAAAGGGAACAACTCAAGAGGTCTTCTAAACATCAAACTAACTTCAAAAGAGAGATAGGAAGAAGAGAAGAAGAACCCACGGTTCTAGAGAGAAAAGAGATGAAGAAGAAGAGCTTCACTCTTGCAAAAATGCAAGTCTCATGCATCTCTTATACAGCCCATGAAAAGTAAGGCCTAACCATTAAAATAATCTAAAGTAATGGTAGCCTTTAGAAGCATTGGAACAAAAGGTAGAAGGTTGAAAAGCAACCTCCCACACCATAATTATGCCTTTTAAAACGTAATATTCTTTATTTTTTTATAAACTCCAAGTTTATAAAATATAAACTTTGTCTTTAGGTAAAAGACAAAAGAATCCAACTAGTCCAAAATGTTGTGCATGGCTTATTAATTCATACCATATAAAATAAAAACTAGTAATACTCTCTTATAATTATTATATTCACAAAACAATAATTATTCCCTAATTAAAATACAAGAATCGATATTATTTATTAATAATCATATTAATAATAAATATACAAAATATGTCAACTTGATAAAGGTGTGATCCTATAGAATCATATATTATTAGCAATATCACTCCATAATGATTCTTGGGCATATAGATCCAACAATAACATTAGTAATCCATGTATTCTATTCCCATTCTTACCGTATTAGTCGTATTATATGCCCGAATTAGATTAACATTAGCCATTTGTAATACGGATTTTTATTAGAACCGCATTAGATGTGGTGTACTGCATTAGCTATTTTCTAGTAGTGTAACAACAAAAATTTGGGCAGAACCCAACAATATGAGCAACTCCATGGACATATAATAGGGTAGGGAAGTCCAATGCATCATAGTTTAAGGATTTTGTTCATCATAGACAAAAAGAGGCATTAGTTCACAATCTTACATATTCGTCTAAATTATCCATATAACCTACTTTTTTTCAAAGCTTAAACAACTAAATTTATTAATTAGATACAAACATATGTGGAGTAGAAAAATGAATCTAACTACAAAACTGAGCAAAGTAAAAGCTTCGTAAATCAAATTATAGAATATATCTTTAGAATTGAAGACAAAGTTTAGTAATTAACCCACCTGAGCAGCTTTGTAAGATTTTATAGTAGCGTCTTCTGATTCGTTCTCTTTGATTTTTCTTCGATCAACTTTACCTCCAAACCTTATTAGTTGTTGGTACCAATTTTAGGGTTTCACATGGAACATGAAAATGGTGGTGATGGAGGAGATGGTACGGCGGCAGTGGATGGTAGGAATGGTGGTGATGGTTAATTGTGTTGAGGTTGCAGGTGGTGGGATGTAATTGCGATGGCCATGGTGCTGGTGCAATGATAGATGTGGTATGCACTATGGAGGGGAACTATAGAGAGAGAGAGAGAGGGAGGGAGAAAGAGAGAGGAAGAGAGAGAGAGAGAGAGAGAGAGAGAGAGAGAGAGAGAGAGAGAGAGAGAGAGAGAGAGAGAGAGAGAGAGAGATGGTGGTGAGTTTGATCGAGGTGGATTAAGGTAGAGGGGAATTGGAGTTGCCGATGAGGTGAGGTGAGTGTCAGGTGAGCGTTCGTGTGGAATGAGATTTTATGAAAAAAGCCCTTGACTTGGACGCCATTTTGTAATTGAGGATAATGGACGCACGTTTGGTAAAAGAATTATAAAACGACGCCTATATACGGCACACATATTTCATAGGTAACCTCCGTGTTTTTAATTATTTTTATTATGACATTATTTTTAGGACACACAAAAATGTGTGTCTTAAATCCTTCAAATTTTAGGAGAGATGACATTATTTTTAGGACACACACTTTTATGTATCATAGATTACCGTGTGTCGTGTTTTGCACGTCATTAAAGGCCTATATTCTAGCAGTGTATTATTCCGGGATCGGTGATCCAATCTAGACCCATTGAAAGAAATCCCTACCATAAATCATGTCATTGTCGGCGGCACCTTTACCGGCAACAAAGTATTTTAGCGACAACTCAAGCTTGAGACGCCGCTAAAAGTATTTGTTGCCGGTAAAGGGTCTTCGGTAATGCCTTGGGGACCGAATCCGCATGAACCCTTTCTAGCAAACCCCAACCTTCCGATCGATATTCTAATCCAACAACTAGGACTCCGTTTCGCCTAAACCCAATAGCGGCAACAATCATATCGGTGATTTTTGTCGCCACTAAAGGTCAAAAAAAGAAACGGAGGGTATGAGGATATCCCGAGAGCATTAGCCACCCCTAGGTGATATGGATGTTGATAATCGGAGGAAAGCACTTGAGTATTTCAAAACGGATGAACACTTAATTGCTTTAACAAAAATAAAAAAAGTCGGTGAATTGCAAACGTCCGTGAACCATGGGGGGCCTAGCTCATATAGTAGTACTTGCTCTAAAATGGTAACATACGATATATGCAATTATTTATTTAAAATATAATCTAATTTTTAATGTTAAACAGAAATGTTCCACGTTGCTAATACCGATAAGAATGATGTATTTGTTAGTGATATAGCGGAGGAGCAATATGTAAGTATTTAATTATAATTTTATCATATAATTAAGTGTTTATTTATACTTAATTGTTAATCATTTTTGGAAAACACAGAATCAGTTAGTACAAGAGCTTTTAGAACATATGCAAGATTTAAATGAAGAAAGAGATTTGACACCCGCTGAAGAAAGACCATGTTTCGAGAAAGTATTATGTTCTCGGCATGGCCTTATCAGAGGGATCGACCAAAAACCTTCTGCCAACCCACCGATTGCACTACCATCGCAGCCAGAACCACAGTCATAACCATTACAAGCACAACCATCATAGGTAAAACAAGACTATTTAATTTCAAAGTCTCATATATCTATGAATGCATGTTGATTTGGTAATTATGGTTGTAAATGTGTTTATGTTCCAACTGCAAGAAATAGCAACGTACTTTGGTCTTTTTGTCCCAATTTGAAGAAATAACAATGTATTTTCGTATCAGTAAATGTATGTTGATTTGGTAATTGTGTTTTTGTCCCAAGTTCAAGAAATAGTAATGTACTTTGGTATTTCTTGTATTTACGCTTCTTGAGCACAAAATAAGTAGAAAGTAAGCTACCATTTCTTGTAAAACCAAGCTATTTAATTTTAAAGTCTCATATATCTATATAATGATAAATAAATGCATGTTGATTTGGTAATTGTGTTTGTATTTGTGTTTATGTTTCAAGTGCAAGAAATAGCAATGTACTTTGGTTTTTTGTCCCTAGTTTAGAAATAGCAATGTACTTTTGCATCAATAAATGCATGTTAATTTGGTTATTGTTTTTATGTTCCAAGTGCAAGAAATAGCAATGTCCTTTTGGTATTTCTTAAATGTGCAAGAAATGGCAATGTATTTTGATAGTTTTTGTTTGTGTTTGATAGTTTAACTTATAAGTTTATATATGTTGTTATTTATTATGTAGTTGGAAAATCTGTGTGTAATGCTCAACGACTCGGCGTGTAGGGAAGAACTTTATCCGTTTTTCAATTGTGGAAACCACAAAATGATGATCAATGAGAAAACGAGGGGAGCGGAGATGATGGTTTGTTAGATAATTAGTTTTTGTTTTGTATGTTAGACTGTTTGTGACACTTTTGTACTTGTTGGAATTATAACACTTTTGTTTTTTATTTTGGTATTTATATGGAATTCTAACACTTTGGTACCTAATTGAATGTGGTTATGTAATTTTTATGCATTTAATGTCCTAACCTATAGGTTTTGTTTGCACCTGAAAAATGTTGATTTAAAAAAATAAATAAATAAATGAAAAATAATATTACTGGCAACACTATTATCGGCGACATATGCTATTACTGGCGACTCTTTAGCAGCGACATGTCGCCGCTATTAGTTTTAGTGTCGACAATTCTAGCATTTAGCGACGATTTTTGTCGCCGCTAATGCCTCTTTTTCTTGTAGTGAATATCTTTAATCGTAGAATGGTTGAGATGGTAGTTGATCTAACAGCTGTCTTAATAAGTAGAATAGATACAGAAAAATAAACACAATCGTTTCTTCTTTGTTGTGATTTGCCTTCAATTTTATTAGTAAAAAGCTCCATCTTGGAAAAAGCCTTTTATGTCAACTATTTTCATTCTTTATAGAAGCCTACAATTGATCAATCTTAATTCCAACAACCTATTGCATTGTTACGAAGGATAAATCTAGCAAAGTTTCTGGTCATTAGCCCTCCTTTGAACAAGTAGGGATTGTTGTATATTTTTTAGAATAGTAAAGCCATCAGGCTAATAATCATGAGATATCTATTTATTTATTTATTTATTATTTTTTATAAAAAAGCATAATTAATCAATCACAATAAACAGCTGTCCTAATAAGTAAAATCATGAGAGGGTATTGCTTACTCAGCGCGAAGTGTTGCAACATAATTAATCAATCACAATAAACAACCATATAAAGTGTAAACCCCGGAAAAACCACTATCAAAATTAGAGCACTCTTATTATTAAACCTTTAATAGAAAGGGTACAAGATGAAACGGTTGTTGTGAATAGGAGAAGAACAAGAAGCATTGAGATGGAATAAGCAGGTTTTGCTATGCGGCATTAACAGTATAGATGGTTTGAACCACGGTAAGAGCAAAGAGGGCGACTCCAGCAATTAGAGCAATCATACTCCATGGACTGCTAAAATATGTACGCTTTAATGCCGCAATATTTTTGGGCCAGTAACTATTGTAGCGGACATCTAATTGTTTCCACTCATCAACGTAACAGAAATTTAGCACTGGAAGTTCTTTGCAAAGGCTGTTCATGGCGTTTGCAGCCTTCTCATTTGAACCTATATGGTTGATGAGGACTTTCGATTTTATCAACTTGGCAATGTCTTCTTCAGTATTAACTAGCATACCCATGGCCATGGCATAAGACGTGACATAAGTATCATGTCCAAAGTACTGCTCGTAAGCAATAAGGTTCCTTAAAACCAACTCAGTGAAGTTGTTAATACGTAATACTGGCATTTTCAGAGTAGGCTTACCCCTACACCAGGAAGGCCAGCTGGCAAACATAGACGTTTGGAACTCCATGGCCATTTGCCACCTTTCATCTTGATTAGGCATAAAGATCACCCCTGCCATGTCCAGTTCTACAGCTGAGTGGATTTGCTGAACTTGCTAATCCTTGTGAAGGAGAATATCCAGTTGTTGGGCAGTAACATTTTTCAAGAAAACCAAGAATATGATGAGGATTTGGTGATGTGCGCTTATTGCTGAGTGTTATGTTTGTTTCAAAGACGTTGAAGAATTGTACAAGATAAAGGATAAGGTCAGTAAGAGAGGCTGTAGGTTGGGATTTCAAAATGGTGCACTCAAAGATTAGTTCGAGAACAAAGAAAGGGATCTGGTTTTCTACCAATACCAGATCATAAACTATAGATTATCCACGCCAAAAGGGTTCTAGTTTACCTTTAGATTCTATAATATCACGAATGAATTGAAGTATGAAACAAGCATCCGTAACCATCATTTTAGCAAGTTCAGTGTCATCGTATCTGTCGATGTCCGTCCCCGCATAAGGTAGCCTGATCTGTTCTATTGAATAAACCACCCTTTTTACACATTTGTTTAACGTTTCCCACAGTTCTAATTTAAGATCCTTCAATAGCGTTTGCGCATAAACCCCTTTCAGCTCTTCAAATGCTTGAACATTTTGGTCTTTTCTGTGAAGAGGTCCAATAGAGACCACCCGAGGATCATAAGAACTTGGGCTTATGTCTCGGAGACCACTAGGAACCATGCTAATAGGTTGCGAGAGTAGGTTGGTCGGAAGTTTCTTACCCAGGGACTCCAGAAGCAAATCAACAGTTTTGACAATGACATCCCCATTTCCACTTGCCATAAGGAATGTTAGCTTGACTTCTTCTTCCTCTGGTAGAAAAAATTTTAAAGGCTAAGATATGTATACAGTTTGGCATTTGGAATTTGTGATCAACAGATAATTAAATAGGCAAACGTACCTTGTGGACTGAAATCCCAACACAAGTTCAAGTTTCTTCTTCGTTGGTAAGTGAGGATAAACTAATGAAACATATGATGCTTAAATATTAAAACTTTAAAGCAGGACCATGTAAAATTTATAATTCAACTTCTCCGATATCTATCAAGTCGGCATTTTCAATTAACAATTTCCGAAACATACGTGTTTGTTCCTGATTGATTTGAGTGGGCGTCCAATGTCTTCTTTCATTTAACAAAGTACCCCACTAGTTTAACTGTTATAAACCTTAAACTTTTAATAATTCCTTCAAGATGTAATTTGTCAATCATTAAACATAAAATATGGAAATGTTGCTATATGCTCTTGAAATAGTTTGTAAGATTAGAAAGACGACAACTTACTACTGGATGCTTTAATATACTTATTTGGTGATGTATGATTTTGCATGTTTTAATATATTATCTGTGTATGGATGACATATATATATATATATATATATATATATATATATATATATATATATATATATATAGACACATTAGTAATACTTAAATAATAATAATTTGATTTGATTTAAAATTTTGGAAATATGCGATTATATTATTATAGTTAGGTGTTCTTTATTTTTTAAGAGGTAACGTCTATAATCTGCAAACCACATCTGCAGAAAAAGATATCGACTAAACATCTGCCGTCTATAAAAAAAATAATTAAAAAATTTTTTATTGATTTTTTAAAGTCCACAAGTTGAATAAATGATATTAAATCACCTTGATCATAGATGATAAAACAAACAAACCACATGTTCATACACACATTAACCATATTGATTTATAGATGATAGTTAAAGATGAAGTGGTGGCGGTCGCAGCAGCGACGATGTTGGTGGCGGTGATGGTGATGGTGGTTGTAGATATGATGGTGCCGACCGTGGTGGTGATGGTGGTGACGGCGGAGGTGGAGGTGGAGGTGGATGAGGTGGTAGTGGTAGTGGTGGTTGCGACGGAAGTGGTGGTGGCAGAGGTGGTGGTCACGATAGAGGGGATCGTGGTGGCAAAGGCGCCGGTAGCGATGGTGGACGTAATTGTGGAGGAGATAGTGGTGGTGGCGGCGAGGTGGCAACGCAGTTAGCGGGTGGTGGTGCAGTGGAGGTGGTGGTGGTTGGGGTGGTGGTTGTGGGGGATGGGAGAGGGGTGCATGGTGGTAGTAATGTTGGTGGCGTCCGAGGTTGTATTCAATAAAACAAACCGTCTTCAATAGAAAAGGCATGCATGCCGAAGAGAAAAAAGCTCAAAAAAAATAATAATAATATAAAATAAAATAATACTTGTAAGACAAAACAAAGACCACCTTAATCATGGACTAGCAAGGTGGAATTACAAAGAGACCAATGTACAACTTTGGGCAAGATTGTTGGGTTTTTTTTTTTTTTTTTTTGGGTTATTGTTTAACCGTGATTAAGGACCATATTCCTTCTGGCCCATGTAGATATATGTTATATTCGGTCATTAGGTTATAACCCGTGGAAACCACGGTAGCTTTTTTAAAATTATTATACAAATAAATTGATAAAATTATAATAAATGTCAAAAAAATTCAACGTATTATTGATTGTAAATAATTCTAATTTCTGAATAAATTTGTTACGTAAACTAAATATAATATTTTACTATAAATTTCGAAAATGTTATTATGAACAAAATTTTGTATTTTCAGAATTTTAATTGAAGTTGATTTGTTACCAAAAAAAGAGAAAATGGTAAAAATCATAGAAAATTGTCACGTGTCAAAACGGAATGCTAGAAAATGGATATGTGACATTTTTAGGTTTCATTTATTAGAATAGGTAGAGGTAAAGGTAGATGTTTTTATTTATTTATTTTTTTGTCATGTTCGAAATCTTCAAAAAAAATGACTATTTTACAACGTAGTATGCTATAAATGCCAGTTTCCAGAAAGTAAAATGTTATAAAATAGTTTTTTTTTTTTTTTTAAATTTCCACTTCATGTTCGAGATACCCATAGAGGGCCTTTTTACAAAGTAGGATGCTATGATAGTTTCCAAATGTAAAATGTTATAACAGAAAATATTATTTTTCCACTCTATATTCGAGATCCTCACAAAAAAAACCATTTTAGAAAGTATAATACAATAAATTACAGTTTTCAGAAAGTAGAATGCTATAAAAGTTTTTCCTTATTTTCCAACTGATGTTGGAAATCTTTTATATATATATATATATATATATATATATATATATATATATATATATATATATATATATATATTACAAAATAGAATGCTACAAATGTTCAAAATCCTACAAAAGCATGTTACATAGTTTATTCCTCACACTATTGTATTCAACTGTTTCAAGATGACTTTTATTTAGTTTGCAACCAAAAGCTAAATATGATGGTCTGAAAGGAACATAGTTTAGGAGAGATCTTTAACAACCATGGTCACATGTAAGTCTAATAGTTATTAACAAATCTAATCCATAGCTGATGTTGGGCATAAGATTTGTTCCTTAAAAACTTCTCCTCAAGAGGGATCAATATCCTCGAGCCTTCAACAATTAAATTTTGGAAATGAAGCAAATGGTTGTGTGTATATGTACTGTTGTGTGATTGATAAAAAATAAAAATATTAATAAAAATGGTATGTATTTACAAACTGCTAAAAATGATGAAATATGGTCAAGAAAATAGAGTTGATTTAATCACTAAGTACTAATTAGTCCATAGTCCTAGATACTCTTGAGTCAAGTGTCAAGTATGAATTTTGAACTTCAAATTTGAAAAGAAATTTATATTTGGTCTACAAAAGAAAAGGAATTCAATAACTATATATACCCTATAAGGGAATGCTCCTGTAGGTTCTTTACCAACTTAGCATTCTTAGCTAGTGAGGGTTCCACCAATACAGTAAAAAAAGGTCATTTAAGCATAACGAAAACATTTACAACGGTTAAAAGTAAGATATATTACCCCCCCCTACACACACTAATAACTAATATGATTGAAAACCTTATCAAAAGAGCTATTAAAATTTCCAATAGGAACCAATAATGTTACTGAACTACCACATCTTCGATTGATGAAGAAAGCAAAAATTAATACACTATAAAATCACAAATCATTGCACGTATATCGAACTTCTACTCCTATCCGCTATCTGTAGAACCCCTACTGTTTTTTAGTACTGTACTAAAAAAACACAAATTAAGGTTAGAAATAGAGGAAGAGCACATGGAGTTTGCGGTGGCACAATGGTGGCTTGATCCGGATCCACGAAATCGACACTTACATAGCTAAACACACACACACACACATAAAACAGTAGAGAGAGAGAGAGAGAGAGACCACGATTTCTGTTTTGTCACTTTGTTTTGAATAAAACTAAACCAAAAAAATGTAAACAATAATTAGAAATTTTTTAAGAACATTAACCTTCTTTCCTGCTTAAATCAAGTTTCTGTAGGGACTAAGGGTGACTTCAAAACCGTTGTAGCCCAAAGATTTCACTCATATCCCCCGGCTCCTTCAAAAACACAAAAATGACTGTTGCAAACGAAAAAGCTGAAGAAGATGTAAAATCAAAAAACAAAGAACCAAATGATAAGTGATTCAAAGTTTTTGATGAACCATATAATCAATCGGCCGCGTGTTTTTCGAGCAACATGTAACGAATTCGAAAGGAGGAAAGAATGTAGATGCATGGAAGGAGGCGAGTGGAAGGATTAAAGATGGAACTAAAAACCCTAGGTTGGTGAGATATACTAAAATAAGATAGGAATTATTACATACCTGGAGAATGATCAACCTCGGTATAGCAGAATGAAAACGATGGCCGATGGGTATATAGGAAATCTTTGATGTAGGTAAATATGAAACGGAAACATTTCCATCCATTTCAAATATGGATAGGATTAGAATCCCTAATTTCTTGGCTAATTTATGAAATTTAAATTTCTAGCCTAATTTTTTGGGATATGAATCATGGTTACAGGAAGATTGATTGGGATAAGTATTGCTTTGCTATCTATAATGACCAATGACCGAGTGTAAAAGGGCGGGAAATCAAAAGAGCTAGTGAATATTAGCATGACATGTGGCAAAGAAATTGTGTAAAAAGGGGACATGTGGCATATCTAGGAGTATTTTATTAGAAGAGAAGATTCTTCCATTTAGTCACATTTATTCATTCCGTTAAGAAAATAAAAGTGAGAACGGAGATTTTTTTTCATTTTCAGTTTTGAAGACATACCTATAGTGTATGATCATTTTAAAGAGATTCATCGGTCCGTTTGCCTTGATTTTTGAACAACTTCCTAACATCTAGAACAATTTTCTATATTGTTGGTTTGAGTTGATCTATCTCGAAGGCTCGATAATTGGTGCTTCTGCTTGTTTCTCAACAGAAGCACTAATTTGGTGACATTCCTCTTTTTTCTCTTTGATGTGTTAATTCCAAATGTTTGAAGTAGTTTGTTATATGATAGTCACTAGGTTACAATCCGTGGAAACCACGAGTAAAAGTATCATGTTAATGGAGCCATAAGAAGTAAGAGAAGTTTATTAACAAAAGGGAAATCATAATTTATTATCACTTTGAGCTTGAATAGCTGATGAAAATAGAGTTTTTCGATTTCTTTATAGCCCAAAGAAAATCAAGAAACTAAATTAATCGTAACTACATTAACCAATTCTTTCAGGCATTTCATCAAGCATGTGGTGTGCATCTTCAAGCCTGTCAACTTAATCGTAACTACACTTACCACGAATTAAAATGCATGATATTAGAAGGTTTTCCTATGATCGTCATGAAAAATAAAGTTATAATCGCTATTAATTAAAATTATAATTACCTTGCTCTGGAAACCCTCCTCGTTCTCCAATTTCGCTCTCTTTTCCTTCTCCTAGCAACCTTCGTCCTTGTCGATGACCCTCGTCTTCCGGTACCAATCTCCTTCTCCACAATCTAAATCACAGAAACTCAAAATCGAATCAATCAAGTTCACTCATGAAGGCAACTTCTTGAAAATACCCTCCCTAAAATCGAAACAGTAGTCGACTTTTGGAAATACCCTCTTCAAAATCCACCCAAACTTACAGTCATTTGTTCCATAATATTTGTTGGTGATACATCAAACAATCTTAATCCAACAGGCGGATGGAGCGATGGTGGAAAAGAAGAAGAGGAGAGGCAAAGACATTACCAGGGAGAGTTTAATTTTTGAACCCAA